CCAGCTATGTCGATAACTTCTTCAAGTCCTGGGGCATCAGAGTTATTTTTGATTTATCTCCTTCCCCCCACCCCCCACCAAATTCCAATCACCGAGTTCTCTCTACTTTTCCCTCAAAAAGAGTCATGTATTTGTGAGCAAATGATCTGAACAGAACACATGAGAAGCAATGCAAATATTAAACACATGAAAAAAATTCAAACTAGAAAAATCAAAGTAAATTAAAATTACAATAGGTACCATTTATACTGACTGCATTAGAGAAAGAAAAATTTCCATGATGACAAGACTTTGGGGAAACTGGTATCCTCATAAAATTGCTAACAGCAGTGTAAAACGCCCCCTAGGTAAGCAGTTTGGTGAAATCTATCAAGAACAATAAGAATGTTCATATTCTTTCAACTGGTAATCCTAACTCTGGGTAATTGTTTTTAATGAGATAATTCAAAATGAGAAAAAGGTTATAGCTACACAAATTTTTTCTGCAGCATTACTTTATAGCAAGAAATTGGAAACAATCTAATTATCCAACAATTTGGGAATGATTAAGCAAAATAGAGCACATTAAGCTAGTGAAATATTATGCAGCCATTAAAATTTATAGCTATTGAGGAAGCCTGTATAGCAACATGACAAATTGTTTACCAAGTAATGCTTAATGGAGAAAAAAGAAGTAGGACACAAAATCAAATCTACATAGTTATTATAACCATGCCCCCCAAAATCTCTATACCTATAGATAAAAGCTGGCAGGGAAATGAAAATAATCAGGGTGGTAGGGTGGTAGGAAAAGAGCTATTTTTCTTCTGTTTTTAACTTCCTGTAATATTGTTTTCATAATAAACAAACACTTTCCCCCAAAATATCACACACATTTATCCTTTGTACTCCATTCCTATTTTACCCCCACCTTCCCAATCCAGGGCCATACTCTTTCATGCCTGGATCACTGCCCCTAATTGGTCTCTCTTCAACCCATCTAGCCTGCAAATGCTGCCAAGTTGCCTAAAGTGCTACATATACCATGTCATTTATCTGATTGATAACCTTCAATTACTTCCATGATGGTGATCCTATCAGATTTCAAGACCTACCTATCCTTGTTCAATACTTTGTTATCCACCCTTTTCCCTCTACTGTTACTGTTATTGCTGCTGCTCTTCCTCCCCTCCTCCTCTTCTTCATTATCACAACTAACATTTGATGAGGGTGTATGGTACCAGGTTGTATACCACATTAACTTATTTAATTGTCACAACCATCACAAGAGGTAGGTACTTAACCTATTTTACTAATGAGGAAACTAACTGAAACTAACTGATGAGAGAGAGAGGGAGAGAGAGAAACGAGACAAGAGAAAGGAGACCGAGAGACTTGCCAAACTAACACAGCTGGAAAATGGAAGAACCTGGATTTGAACCCAGGCAGACTGACTCCAAGGCCAAAACTCTTAACCAGTGGAACTTATTCCTCCAACACACTCTGCTTAGTCTCCCCTCTGGACCTTTCATCCTGTAGGTCTCAACCTTCAGTTTTCTTACCCTCCAATGGACTTAAATAAGGTGCAATAATACTTATCATGTATTGGGTGCTTGCAATGTGCCAGGCATTTCTTGTTTAAACCATGTATTTGACAGTTTTTAACTTATAGCAACTCCCCCGAGTTTAAGCTGGGTTTAAATTTTGGCCTGTCCCTTTAGTGAGTAGTTGTGAGACCTTGAGTAAATGACTTCGTTTTTATGAACCTCAGATGCTTTATCTGAGTCAGTGGTTCTCAGAGTGTGATCCCAGGACCAGCTGCATCAGCACCACCTGGGGAGCTTGTTAGAAATACACACTTAGAGCCCCACTGCACACCTACTGAATCATACTCTCTGCGGGTTGGATCTACCAATCTCTGTGTTTTAACAAGCCCTTCAGGTGTTTCTAATCCACACTCAAGTTTTAGAACCACCCCCCTAATTATAGTAATACCTACCTGATAGAGTTTTGGGGAAGATAAAATATGATATGTGTAACTTAGCTTGTGGCATGTAGGTTGTCTTACAAATGATGATTTATCACTACTGCTACTTAACGTTGTGTGGGTTAGTCTTCCTTGCTCAAGCTGTGAGTGGGCAGGCATTATGCTTCCTGATGCTCTTTAACATTTCCCGGCTTTCTTAGAAAAAGGCAGTATATACACTAGGTTTTGAATCAAGTCTTCCTACTTCACTGGTTGATTGGTAAGAGAACCATTTTTGGACAACCACCGTAGGGTAATACAGCGGATCCTCGATAACATCGCTTTGTTCAATAGCATCTTGTTATAACATTGATGACAAAACAAACAAACAAAAAAATGATTCCCAGCCAGGGCCACTGTCTGTGTGGAGTCTGCATGGGTTTTTCTCTGGGGACTCTGCTTTCCTCCCACATCCCAAAGATGTCCATGTGAGGTGAACTGGCGTGTCTACATTGTTCCCATCTGAGTGAGTATGGATGTGAGTCCACCTGTGATGGAAGGGCGTCTTGTCCAGGGTGGATTCCTGCCTTCTGCCCTGAGCTGCTGGGAGAGGCTCTGGCCACCTGCAACCCTAAGCTAGAATAAGCAGTTTGGAAAATAATGATCTTACTTGTTTTTATCAATCTCTCTTAAATGTATGCATTGTTCACATTTATTTCAATGTTTAATATTAGAAGTGTTTTGGGTCTTCATTTAGAAATTCAGTGATGTTTTGTGACCAGAAATATGCCACAGGAACTTAACTCTTGTTTATATCAATTAGCCTATGGTAAAATTCGTTTCGTTACATGTTGTTTATCTTAAATTCGCAGTTTCCAAGAACATATTGATGGTGTGAAGTAAGGACTTACTGTGGAGTGTCTCTGAAGTTAGAGTGCCTGGATCTGGTCAACTTACTATATATGTGGGACCTTAGGTGAGTGAATTTATCTGTGTGTGCTCCAGTTTCTTCTCTTGGACAAATGGAGAGATTAATGGCACCTACCACTTAAGGTTATGGTGATAAACAAATGTAAAGTGCTTTGAGTGGTGTCTAGAATACAGCACTGTGCTCAAGAAATGTTAGTTAGCATTATTATTTTGTTTTATTTCACCCATCCAGTGGTGGAGGCTCTGTTTCTTCATTTGGCAAGAAAATGACAAATACCCCTGAGGAACTGCTCTGTGCTAGGCACAGAGAGTAAGTCTATAATCAAGGTATGGTCTACTCTCTCCCAGGTCTCAGTCTAACATGGGAAACTCAGCAGACCCACTAGACTGAAACAATTTCTCCAAGGACACGGTGCAAGCCAGTTCACAGCAAGGAATCAAGACTGGCCATAGAATCCCATCGTATCCCCATCCAGGCCAGACTCTTGAGACATGATGCTGAGTTATCTGTTTGAAGGGTTTCCTTAGGGATCCTAATTGAAGCAGTTGTAATGGAAAAACATGAACTTTGGGGCCAGGCAAATCTGGTTCCAAATCCTGGCTCCATCACTTATATTAGGTGTGTGACCTCAGCTAAGTTATATAACCTCTCTAGACCTCATCTATAAAATAGGTAGTAAAAGTGAACTGTTGTGGAGAATAAATGAGATTATGGGTATAAAAACATCCAGCCCAGTGGCTGACACTTAGTAGATCAATAAATGTTGGGTTCCTCCCTTTTTCCATTGCCAACCAGAAAACGGATAGGTTTCACAGACTTTGGAATCAAAAGAAAGCCAGAAGTATTCCTGACTACATCAGCAAATCACAGGGGATAATGTGTACCCCCAGAAAGAACCATGGGCTCTTCATGGGTCAGGAGACCCAGATTCTAGTCATCTCCCTTGGTGACCCCTCCCTAGGGGCCCCCACAGAGGCACAGCTAAGAGCCTTCTTCCTTGTCCCTTCTTCATTCCTGGAGTTTGAATTAAATAATCAACATAATTAGGGACCTCTTGTATAATTTGGCCTGAAGAAGAACTGACTGAAAGAGTACATCAAGGAATTTCACAAGAGGGTCCAGCCAGGCTCATGTATAGCAACCCAGAGAAGATAACTATCACTCCTTATGGTCTTCCATGGCAGGAGGGCTCATCTCTGGGGAACATGAGTGCTGGGTGCCTTGTTCCCCACATTATAGGAGCAGACTTTCCATTCTGGGCATTTTTTTCCTTAAGAGCTTTGCCCAAGCAATGCTTTTCCCTCTAGTCTAAGCCATATATGCCATTTCTAAAAGTGTTCCTGCCTTCTTTCAGGAATTTTAACCTATTGTTAACATGATCTACCCTTGGACTTTTAATGAGCAGACCTTAAGTTCTCAACAAGTCCTATATACAGCGGTTCTCAACCTGTGGGTCGCGACCCCTTTGGGGGTCGAGTGACCCTTTCACAGGGGTCGCCTAAGACCATTGGAAAACAAAACGATATTTACATTACGATTCATAACAGTAGCAAAATTACAGTTATAGAGTAGCAACGAAAATAATTTTATGGTTGGGGGTCACCACAACATGAGGAACTGTATTAAGGGGTCACGGCATTAGGAAGGTTGAGAACCGCTGTCCTATAAAAAGAAAAGGTGGCAGAACCCAAGAAACAAATACCTCCAACAACTCTGAGGCAACAGCACAGCAGTACCTACAGTTTACCTCCTCTCTGCCCCCTCCAACTGCCCAATGGCCACTGGGAAGGCAGGCATAATTTACGCCTTCTCATCTATGTTTCAGCATGGTCTGGTCCCACATGTCTTTGTGCCCAGGCAGGCCCGCTTCAGGCCTCTGAGATGATGGGCACATATCCCACAATACTGCCTGACTACTACATACTCCAAACTCTCCTAGCAATCAGCTTGGTCTATAGCCCAGTTGCCTGGGGGGCAGGCTGGATGACATCTAAGGCATCGAGCCCTTGGGATGAACACCAGGCTAGGTTCCTCAAAGAAAAGTGAGCAAACAGAAGACCTTACCCATTTCTATGGAAGCCTCAGAGGCACCAACTCACCCCAACTCCCTGAATGGTCACTTACCTCCCTGACTGGCTGGTCTTCCTGTTTCCTGTTATTGGTTTCCATTTGTCCCCAGGAAATTCCTGCAAAGCAAAATTCTGATAAGTTAGGGAGCTCTGAGCAGCCAGGTATCTAGATGGCCTGAAAAATGTGAAGAGATCAGGAGCCTGTTCCTGGCCAGGCCCCCCAGCTGGTTTCTTCTACTCTCCCATGCAAGCTAGAGAAATATGTACCTGGAGAGCAGCCTTTCTGTCAGGAGGCCTGCTGAAGAGGCTAAGAGAGCACTCAGTTGACGTGGACAGTGTAGTCTAGAAACTCCGTGTTTTCCCCCTCTCCTCTCCCTTCCCAAACCAGGTTAAAAAACAGTTTAGCATGCTTACTGTTTGCTCTGGCTCTTACTGTTTGCACTGCCTGGTGAACCTGCTCCTTCCTCTTGACTCTTCTGACATAGAAAGCATCTTCTTGGAAGCCCTGGCTCTTGAAGGGGCTTTGAGGCCTTTGTTGCAACCATCTTCCAGAGTGAGGCAGATGAGGATCATGCATGCCACACTGCTGTACTGCAGGCCCTTCCTCCTCCCAGATTTACGGGCGGAGGCTGAGGTGGGCTTATCTCTGGGGTGCATGAGTGCTGGGTGCCCTGTTCCCCACATTACAGGAGTACTCTTTACCCTGGGCATGTTTTTCCTTAAGGGCTTTGCCCGAGCAACTCATTTCCCTGTAGCCCAAGCCATGTGTGTCATTTGTAAAAATGTCCCTACCTCCCTAGTCTACCTCCAAACCTAATGCAGATTTGCCTTTGACATTCTCCCTGATTTTGCATTCAGCACTTGGAGTTTAGCCCGATGGGAATGCACAGTTGTTCCTAAACCTCACTGATCTTCCAAATTCCCTCTTTCTCCATTGCTGCTATTGGTCCCATTCAAAGTTTTATTATCTTTGCCCCAATTTAAAAAAATACTCCCTTCTGGCAGTAAGACACCTGGTGTCAGTCATATTGGCTAAGACACTTAGTAGCTGTGTTATTTGAAGGAAGTTATGTCACCTTCCTAAACCCCAGATTCCTATCTGGCAAATAAGGATTATGCTAACTAGCCTTGCTGGGTTCCCAGTCATGGGGATAAAATGGGATGTGCATCGAGAATGCCTAGCTCAGTGCTCAGTGCATAGGAGGCTCTGGATGTTAGTAGCCATGGAAAGGATGAGGTTTCTCAGCATTTACAGGATCAGAGCAGTCCCTGCATGTACCCATCATGTTAGAGCAGCTCTAACCATTTGTTAGACTTCAGACTCTGCCTGACACTCTTATGAGATGTCCTTGGCATCAAGGACATATTACTTGTTCAGCCACAGTGGGAGCCAGGATTTCCTCTCCATGCCCTGTCTAGCCCTATGGGAAGTGCTCAGTAAATAGCAGTGGCCAAACCAAACAAAGTTCTGTCCCAACTCCCAACCTTGTTCTCATATCCCCAGTATCACCTTATTTTTTTTTCCCGCACCACTTAGGTTGCTGTAAATTGTCTGCACCCTTTGAACCAAAGAGGCAGTTACTCCATGGTTTGTTGCAGATGCGGACTGTGGTGGGGACTTGCTGCCCTAATGGAAGGTATATGCTAGAAGGCACCCTGCCATACTGGAGAGAGCCTGGGCTTTGCAATCAGCTTATGAAGAGACAGTGTAGCACAATTAGAAGCTTGGTCCTGAAGGTGGACTACATGGATTCAAATCCCACACTTGCACTTCACTAACTGTGATCTCAGGCAAACTATCCAACTTCTCTTATTCTCATTTTCCCCAGCTTTTTAATAGTGTGATCATAATAGTAACATTACCTATTTTTTTAATTTATTAAATGTATTGGGGTGACATTGGTTAGTAAAATTATATAGGTTTCAAGTGTACATTTATATAATACATCATCTACATATTGTACTGTGTGTTTACCACCCAGAGTCAGTTCTCCTTCCATCACCATATATTTGACCCCCTTTTTCCCTCTTCTACAATCCCCTCCCACCCTTACCCTCTGGTAACCACTGAACTGTTGTCTGTGTCTATGAGTTTTTGTTTCTTTGTTTGTTTGTCTTGTTCCTTTGTTGCTTTCAGTTTTATATTCCACTACATATGAGTGAAGTCATATGGTTCTTGCCTTTTTCTGTCCGACTTATTTCGCTTAGCATGATAATCTCAAGATCCAACCATGTTATCACAAATGGCAGTATTTCATCTTGTGCTGAGTAATGTTCCATTCCATTACCTATTTCTTATTTTTTTTAATTAAAGTTTATTGGGGTGACAATTATTAGCAAGGTTACATAGATTTCAGGTGTACAGTCCTGTAATACATCATCTATATATCACATTGTGTGTTCACCACCCAGAGTCAGCTCTTCCATCACCGTATATTTGATCCTGTTTACCCTCATCTACCACCCCCCTCCCCCACTACCCTCTGGTAACCACTAAACTATAGTCTGTGTCTATGAGTTTTTGTTTCTTCATTTGTTTGTCTTGTTCCTTTGTTGTTTTCAGTTTTATATACCACATATCAATGAAATCATATACATTATCTATTTCATGCTCTGAGGATTGCATGAGTTGATACATGTAAAGTGCCTAGAACAGTAGGTGCACAGTAGACATTCAAGTGTTAGTAATTGTTGCTCAAATCCTGGCTTTGCCACTTGCTAGATGTGTGACCCCTCTGAGCCTCAGCTTCCTCAGCTGTAAAATGGGGGTCCTATTATAACTTATCTCATACATTTGTTAAATGAAATAATCTGATAAAATATGGAAAACTAACTGGCATGAAGTATGAGGCATGGAAATGTGTATTGACTTCAGCTCTCTTCACAGCACTAAACAAGAGCCAATTAACTTTGCAACATCTTCTGGGGCCATAAAGAGAAGGACCACAACTACCTTACTCATATGCGCTTGGGTATCCTAATCCATGCTGTAAACTTGCCTCATGTCTGGGGGCAGGGATGTGTTTAGGTGACAGGGTTAAGAATGGGCATGAAGTGGCTCCGAGATGGCCAGCCACATGTCTGAAAGCCTATTGTCTAAGCAAACCTGCTTAGCAAGTCTTAACAGGTGTGAGGAATCGAATGTGTCCCTCTCTCAGAGTGCAAAAGGAGGGGCATGGTACAGGTACAGGCACACCTGCATTACCGCTGCCAATTGATGGCAACCTGCAAATTTCACTTTCTTCCATTACTGACCCTGGGTTGACACTTCTGCAGCCATAATCTCTGTATTCCTCTGCCCCACCCCCCAACTTCACTCCCCTTTCTTTATTGTATACTTGTAGGTTCTGCTTTCAGCAAACCGTTTCTCAAGCTAAGTCAATCTCTCCCCTTATTTTAACAGATAATAACTCACACTTACAAGATGATTACTATCTGGCAGTCACTGTTCTAAGTGCCTTACACAGATTACATCATTTAATCCTCACAACCAACTTATGAAGTAGGTACAGTTACCTCCATTTTTTTTTTGAAATGGGAAAACTTAGGAATTTGAACCTAGGCAAACTGGTTCCCACATCAGTGCCCTTAAACCCATTATTTTATATTTCCTCTTCTCTTTTTGTCAACAGTTTATTATGAATATTTTCAAGCATATAGAAAAGTTGAACAAATTTACAATTAATACCCAATCTACCACCTAGATTCTACAATTATTATTTTACCATATTTGCCTCTTCACATATCTCTCTATTCACTCCTCTATCCATCTACCAATCCATCTTAAATTCTTGATGTATTTCAAAGTAAGTTACAAACAACTTTATCCCCATAAACATGAAAACTGAAATGAAATGGACAAATTCCATGAAAGACAAATGACCGAAGCTCACTCAAGAAGAAATAGATAACCTAAATGACAATATATCTATTAAAGAAATTGAATTTGTAGTTAAAGACCTTTCCACAAAGAAAACTCCAGGTCCAGATGGCTTCAATGATTTATTCTACTTAACATTTAAGAAGAAAATAATACCAATTCTATGCAAACTCTTCCTGAAAATGGAAGAGGAAGGAATACCTCCCAGCTCATTTAGTAAGGCCAGCATCTAGATATAAAAACCACACAAGAACATTGCAAGGAAACTACAGACTAAAATCCGTGACAAATATAGATACCAAAATCCTTAACAAACTATATGCAAATTGAATCTAGTAACACATAAAAAGAATAATACATCATGACCAAGTGGCATTTATCCTGGCAATACTAGGCTGGTTCTTATCTCAAAAATCAATCAATGTAATTCACCATATCAGTACACTAAAAGAGAAAAACTATAAGATGTTCTCAATAGATACAGAAAAAGCATGTGGAAGAACTCTAGCATCCACGCCTGATAAAAGCTCTCTTCAAACTAGGAATAATGGGGAACTTCCTCAACCTCATAAAGTGCATCTACAAAAAAACCTACAGCTAACACCACACTTAATAGTGAAATATTAGGAACAGAGCAACAATATCTGCTCTCACCATTTCTGTTAAACATTGTATTGGAGGTCCTAGACAATGCAATATGCCCCCCTCCCCCAGAGAAGGCATACACAGTGGAAAGAAAGATATAAAATTATTTTCATTTGCAGATGATATGATTGTCTATGTAGAAAATCTTCTTAAATCGACCAAAAAGCTACTAGAATCAATAAGTGAGTTTGGCAAGGTTACAGGATACAAGGCCAATATACAAAATTAAATTGTATTTCTGTATAATGGTAACAAAGAATTTTAACTTGACATTAAGAAAATAATACTATTTACAATAGCATCACAAACATGAAATCTTAGGGATAAATATAACAAAATGTGTGCAACATTTATATCTGAAAACTATAAAATAAGTTAGAACGTCAATAGGCTTCAAAAGCTTCAGCATACACATCATTAAATAAAGTCCCAAATTTGTTTATAATATTTTAAGGCAAAATTTACTTCCAGTTAAATGCAAAAATATTAAGTTTACATTTGTTGAGTTCTGAGAGATGTGTATACACCTGTGTAACTCAAAATCTTATCAAGATATAGAACACTATCCTCACCCAACAAAGTTCCCTCATGCCCTTTCCCAGTCAATCTCTGTGTCACCTCCCATAGGCAACCACTGTTTTGAATTATTTTTCCATAGAATAGCTGTTTTAGAACTTCATATAAAAGGAATTGTAGAATATGTAGTCTTTTGTGTAAGGCTTCTTTAACCACAAAGTTTCCTTTTTTTGAAAAAATATATATTGAGCAATTTCATACACCCAAGTCATTCAGAAGTGTCTGCCTATGCAGCAACAGTTCAACATATGAACTAACTTCTGGTTTGAGTGCTCCAGTTGAAAGGTGGCGTTAGGGAAGCCTTGGGGAAGGAATCTGACAGCGAGCTGGGAAGGACATAGAGAGTCCTCCCAGAAGTACACTGGGAGATGGCAGTGGCTTGTGTTAGGGTGGTAGGTCATAACCAGAGTATAGCAACAGCCAGTCTAAACCTAGGTCTCTGACAGAGAGAGACTGGAAAAGGTGGGGGAAGGATTTGTTCTTTAGAAAACCAGACAAGTCAGATCTCTGAAAGCAAAGCTTGGGAGACCATTTGCAAATTTTGGAGCTCCAAATAGTTTTAAAACAGGAAATGGAAGGGAATATGTGCTGTTTTGTATCAGGCACTGGGCCTGACACTCTATATCAACAATCTCATTTGATCCTCGCAGCTGATCCTTGAGGCAGCCATTATTTTCCTCACTTTACAGATGAGGTAATAAGACCTTATTTAGTACTGGCCATTTTTATGAAGTAAAAATTTCTTTTTTTCCCTTTAAAAAGTACATAACTGCAAATTTTGGTGGTTGAATGACTTGCTTAAGGTCACTCAGATACCAAGATAGCCAGTCAGGCTATAAATCCCAGTTCTGTCCATTTTGTGAAGCAAAAGTTATTTTATTCTAACTTTAAAGATGAGGTAACTGCAATTTTGGTGACTGAGTTTCCTATGCAAGGTTAGTAAGATACCATCTGGTGGAACCAAGACTATACAGTTTTATGGCATTATTGTTATGTTGTCAAATGATTTTTACCTCGCTTTCTCCTCACAAAGAGAACAACAAGGCTACCCATCCAAGAACCAAGTCCTCACCTGCACTGTAGGCTTCCTGGATTTCCAAGTGTTGCCAGGTGCCAAGGTGCTGTCTTCGAGGGTACTGTGCTGGGGATTATGATAGCAAGCTGAACACCGAATGCATTGGTGATGGTGGCATCGGCAGTTGTAGCAGTTTGGCATCATATTTCTCTTTCGCAAAGCAGGGCAGATTTCTCCAGAACAATAAATGCAAGGGTCATGTACTACAGCTCCCTGAACACTGCAGGAGTAAGAGCAGGTCCTGTGGTAATCAAAATCACCACAGTGCAGTGGCTTACAACACATGGATTGTTCTAGACCTTTGCTTGCAAAACATTCTGAGTAAGTAGGAGTTTCTGACTGAAGGGGTGACATGGAATGATATGATTGGTCTGTGGCATGATATGATTGGTCCATGGGATGGCGCCTCAATTCCCTATAGCTAGAGTTCATTGACTGGAAGCTTTGGTCTATAGGTTTTGGTCTCTGTGCAAAAGTCTTGTTACTATGAGTGCTTAAACCTGGCAAATGAGATGTAGATAGGGATTTGCTACTGTCTTCAAAGAACTTTCTTCTGTCTGCAAAGGGCAAGAGGATGGCTTCCTCCTCAGCTTGGGTGGTAGAAGCTGTCAATTCCTTGTTATCACCTTGGTTGGAAGGGCCTTCCATGGCTAGTGCCACGTGAGGCTGCAAGTTGTGTTCTGGAGACCATCTCCAATGACCTCCACGGACTCCATGGTGAACCTTTGTTTTCTCAGAGTCTGAGGAGGATGGGTCAGATGCATTCCACCAGGCATTCAGGCCCAAAGAGGACTGGCCAGGCCTCTGGCCAGGGCTCATTCGTCCCTCCAAGCCTGTCCTAGATTCATGGCTCTCAGGGGCTTGGCTGAGGCACTCTGAAGACCTAGCCCTAAGCATCATGTTCTTATTGAAGAGCTTGTCTCTGGGGCTAGGTGGTTTTTTATATGAAGGCAGTAGAGATGAGTTAGAGGCAGGAAGTAGAGGATTTTCTAGGGGCTCCTCAGTCTCTTCCACTGGCACCTTAGTGTCACACAGCTGTGATAAGGGACTCTTGCTTTTCTGGAGTTGGGCCTTCCTCCTCTGAATTTCATTACGCAGGTTGGTAGCAAAACGCTCACTCTTCCGCCGGTTTTGGATAGAGCGGCCCCGGGTCCCTCCATTTCGCCGACCACCCACCCGGCCACACTCCTTGGGCTCATTGTCCCCTTCTTCAGCTGCCTCTGTGGTGCCAGCTACTTTAGTGGTTGAAGAACAGTCCCTGGTTTGTTGAACAAGAGAGCCAGAGGCAGAGGGCTGCTGGCTGGCCAACTCACTGCCTGCTCTGCTTGCCCTGTTTGGGTCCTGGAGACCTCTTTCTGGAGGGTGTCCATCAGCTTCTCCATGGGGGGAAATGCTTCGGCTCTGGTGCCCTGAACCCAAAGGCCTCTCATCCACTGGCCTGGTCTTTCTCTCTTTGCTGGGCTGGTCCTGGGTTTCTCCTGTAGGGGAACATGGGCTTTTCTTCCCTGTGTGGCTGCTATGTAAAGGGGACAGAGTCCACTCATGTCCATCCTGCCCAGCTGGGAGCTCCATCCCCTTGCTACCCCTGGTATCAAGGTGCACATGCTGCAAGTGGGATGCCAGCAGCTGTTCAGGGGCACTATGGCGATGGCCTGTGGGTCCTGTGAGGTGTTGAGGGCTACTAAAAGAAGCCTTAGCTAGCTCTGCTGAAGCCTTGTTGAGTGGGCTGGAATTTATACTGGAAGTTTTGTCATATGATTTTTGGAATCCAATAGCTTTGGATGAGGCCTCCATCAGTAGGTGCTCAGAACCCTGCTGGCTGGATTCAGGAGGTTGGCTGAGCTCACAGTTCTGATGGCCCTCATTTATCACCTGGTTTTGCCCACTGAGGCAGCAAAACCTGTTAGGGTTCCTTGGGGATAGCGTAGTGTCTAAGCTCAGTTTCTCCTGTTGTAAAGAGTCTGCAGGCTCAGAAACCCTGCGCTGCTCTCCATTGAGGAGTTGGGATCTGGAGGCCTGAAGACTGTCTCGCCTCACTGGAGGTTGTGGTGGGCCCTTGGCAGCCTTGGCAGGCCCTGAGTGGTGGACCTCCCGTGGGCGGGATGACATCTGGGAGCTGGGAGTCAGGTGGCCCCCGTTGGCGCGCCGGCTACTTCCTGAGGTCTCAGGCATATTAGGCCTGCCATTATGGGCCTTAGTAGACCCTTGGCCTTGTATAATGCAGTCTGCAGAGGCTGGCTCCTCTGGCCTGAGGGAAAGGGCACAGTCAGAGGCATTTGAGCTGGCCGAGAAGGAGCTATAGGCTGAGTCACGCTGGTTGGGGTACATATTCTGGTCAATGGGCAAGAGGTGACCCTCATAGGTGGCTTGGCCTGGTTGCTCCAGGCTCTCCATGCTGCCAATGGAGCTGCTTTTCTCAGTGCTGCAGTGCCGGGAGAGTGGACACCACTGCACACACACGTCACTGCAAGACACAGGGCATACTGATTAGTTAGCCAAGTTACCAGATCCCTTTCCCGCCGTGGCCAGCCCTGCCATGGGAGAAGACAGGGAAGCCCAGAGGCACCCATGTCACAAATGAGAGAGAGATAAGGCAAAAACAGAATGAAGGGAAACAGGGAAGGAGATGGATACCAGGACACCACAGCAACATGGTAAAATGGGAGACAAGATGGTATATGGAAGAAGGGTGGGGGACAAGATCCCAAAGACTAAAAGTGTGAGGACTCCATTGGGGGTTATGTTCTGTTTCCCTGCCATCAGTGAGTCTAGAATTGCTTCTGGCCTGTTGCTGTCCCCAGGGAGTCAGCATGTGGCTCTCTGCCAGAAGAGATAATCATAGACCATTAGCATTAGAGAGGGGCCTTAAAGGACTAATCCAATTTCAGCTAGCCCATTTTGTAAATCAGTGGTTCTCAAATTTGAGCGTGCCCCAGAATCATAAGGAGAACTTGTCAAAACACAGGTTAGGGGGCCTCATCTCCAGAGTTTTAGGTCTGGGTGAATCCTGAAATGTTTACTTTTAATAAGTTGCCTGGATGATACTGGTGCTGTTGGTCCAGGGACCACACTTTTGAGAACCACTGCTATAAAGCAAGCCCCACAAAGGAAGTGATTTTGAAGAGGTGATTTTTCTCAATATCTCCCAGTACTAGCTTGTGGCCCAGACAGGGCTGAAATTTAGGCATCCCCCATTCTTTTCTTGATAATAGTAATCCTGAACACTTACCAAGGCCCTATAATGTGTCAGGCACTTTAGAGTGTCTCATTCCAAACTTAAGGAGAGAAACTACTATCTCCACTTTGCACCTGAGAAAGCTGAAGCTTTGAGAGGTCAAGTAGACGGTCAAAGTACTAAAGCTGCTGAAGAAGCAGAGCTGGAATTTGAACCCAGGCTTCTGTGAGTCCAGTGTCTTAGCTCTTCTACTATAATGTCTGTTAAACAGGAATAATAGTAATATCTGCATCAGAGGATTGTTTTGTGCGTGAAATCAGATAATAAAAAAGTAAAGCTCTTATCACAGCCCAAGCACCTAGCAAAGGTTCAATACATGGTAGCGGCTGCTCTCTCAATTGTTTCCATTGCTATTGTTATCAGCATCCTCTCTACTGCTAGTATTGACAGTATAGTGGCCCCTGTCCACCTATGCTGCCCTCATCCCCCATGATAAAGCCAAACCGGGGAGACCAAGGAAGGGGCTAGGATCAGAAACTATCTTGACTTTTAAGTACTATTTCCCACACATAAAGCTGAACTGAGCCAAGCCATGCCAGTAACTCCCTATGACTAGAATCCCAGAGGTTGCAGGCTGCTCTCAGAAAGGCCACAGTTCAGAAAGCCAGAGCTGAGCAGTGGCAGAAGCCCATGAGACCCTCAGGTCAGCCTCCCCTAATTCTTGTGACCCACGCTGCCCCTTAGCCACTTTGCTCACTTGACCTCTGGGCTGAGAATCCACCGATTTCTTGTTGGCAAGGGGACCTGCTACCCACCCCACCACCCTTCCTGCTGAAAACAACCACACCCCCACTCCAACGGGAGCCAAGCTGAAAATGTGATGCTGTGTATTCTTCCAGAACAAAATTGTCTCTGTCTCTGCCCTGAGCCCCTGGCTTCTAATGCCAAGTAAAGTCACCAAGTGGGAGTAAAGTCACCAAGTGGGGGCAAACTCAACCCTTCACTTCCCTGAGCCTCCTCAACAGAAATCCCTTCTTGGAGGGACAATCTTGTTGTGGAAGGAAAAAGGCAGCTGAGGCCAGCAGCTCTTCTGGCTCAGAGCTTGCTGAAAAAGTTGTCTGCCACTTCTGAGCAGTTGTTTCAACAACAGACAATATTACACTGCCTGCATTGAGAGATTCTCACTGCAGGTAGACACTGTTATTCAGAGAGGTACCATTCTGAAGGCTTTGGCTCTGTGACAGAGCTGACGAACGCTGGGTAAGACTGCCAGTGAGTCACTGTAGACAGAGAACAGAACCAGAACTGAGCCCTGGGGCCCTCCTATATTAAGAGATGAAGGGGATGAGGAGGAGCCATGGAAAGAGACTGCAAAGGAGCAGCCAGTGAAATAGGAGGAAAAGCAGGGGAATATGGTGTCTTGCAAGTCAAGCGAGGTAACTATTTAAGGAAACATTTCCCAGAAGGAATGAGACTGGCCCAAAGTCACAGAGAGTTAGCAGTAGACTAGGTCTAGAACCCAGGTACTCTGGACTCCCACTCCATTTTCCGTTATAGCATTCTGGGCTCTATAACATCCAACAGGGCTATAGCAGGGGAGAAAGAGTGACCACATTGTCTACCCTCCAGACCATCTTGAGGAGAGGGTTTCAGACTCACCTTGTGTTGCAGCCGGAATGCCACGACAAGCTGAAGGTTTCAGAAGGGACATGCATGGTGGTAGCCACTTCAGGGCATCCCTCCAGCAGCTTGGCCACATGCCATGAATGCGGCCTACTGACAGGGGCGTTTCTCCTACAGCAAGAAAAGGACAGGAAGTCAGCTTAGGGAACCAGAGCTGAAATCACTTCCAGGCAGCTTCCACCCCCACCCCCTCTTTCCCTTAAATGAAGTAGAACATCTTGCAAGGAGCTGCTGTGGGAATCTTAGTGGCCCTCCTCAGCTCCCAGTACTCCAATCTCCTTCAACCCAAGGGCGATCCCTGGAGATATGGAATGTTAGCTTCATATGGCTGTTTTGTTCACAGGTGTATCCCAATCAGGTACAGCAGTGTCAGACACAGAGTAAATGCTCAATAAATACTTGTGGAATAAATGAACGATGCTGACCAATGAACAGTGAGCCGACTCTAAGTTATCTTTGAGGGAAAACATCAATCTGGCCAATATTCCTAATTTTCTCTTAGAAAATAATAGAGAAGTGATTGAGAAGTTTGAACAAGTCAACACTGGGCTGCAGATTCTCCAGTCTTCGCTTATTCATTTGATAAGCATTTGTTGAATGTTTTCTGTGTACCATTTGTGCATAGCTCTGGGGATACAGAGATAAATCCAAAATAGCCTTTGCCCTTGAGAGCTTACAGATTAGTGAGACAGAGCTAATTCCAATAAAGTGTGGTATAGGCCTTGAAAGAGGAAGGAGAAGATGGGCACAGAGGTGAGATACCTGAGTATGTAGGAAAAGTGTTGAAGAAGCCCCAACTCCCGCCAGGTAAAATAGAACAAAGTGGTGAATGGTGCAGTGCTAGGCTGACAGAGGAGACTGCTTCTCCGCAGGGCAGGGGTGAATAAAGGGAAACAGGTCTGAGGCTAAGGCTCTGGATGCAACCACAGGGTCTAGCTGGTGCTGGAGGCTGACACCATAACTCTTGCACTGACTGGCTTACACAGGACCAATCCCTGTTCTCTGGTATATTTCACATGAATAGACACCAGCTTTGGATATGGGGAAGAACAGTATGGAGAAGAACACACGTGGGGCATGGGTAGTACCAGAAGATAAAGAAAAGATCAATGAGAGAAAGAAAGAGAGGGAGAAAGGGAGAAGGGGGGAGAATAAGGAGAGGAGAGATGGAAGGAGGGGGAGGGGAGGGAGGGAGTACAACAGGGAGGGGGGAGGGGGGAGAAAGGAAGAGAAAGATAGATGTTGGAAGGGTCAGATAGATGATAGACATAAGAGGGAAAATGTTACAGAGAAAAATAACAGAAAGGGAGAAAACCCTGAGAAAAACTATAAATACGTAGTAAAGAGAAATGGATGATACAGAGAGATGAATGACAGAGTAAGAGAAACAGATGATAAATAAGTAGATGACAGAGAGGTAAATAGATGATAGCTTATTTAGTAATTTATTCAGTCATTTACTGTCATACTAGACACTGAGGGTGCAGAGTTGACTAAGACAAGGGCTCCTGTTTTCAACAATCTTGTTATATAGTGGGATAATTCAGCGGAAACACAGAAAATCCTAGCAGTGCAAGGCTCTAGAGAGCTAAGGCCTAAAAAGGTAGTCCTGGGGAGAAGGCCTTGCTGGGAAAAACATCAGTTAAGTGGTAACAGGCTAGGCACAGACAAGGAGATATAAGAGGAAGGGCAGAGGATGCTGCTTGTCAAAGGTCAGGAACCAGAGCCAGAGGTTAGCAGCAGTGGCTAAGGTTTATGGGGAGGAAAGGCAGGTGAGGCCCCACTTTTAACCACATTGTTCTATTTTGGATTTCAGAGTGCCTAGCGGGGAGGCTGAGGGCACAAGAAGGCCTTGGGGCCGGGATGTGCCTGCTCCAGAATCTCATACACAAAGCTCTGATGCGAGAAATCTCTCCAGTTTCTGTAGCCCAGTAGCTATCCGTTAACAATCATTTATAAGGCATCTCAAGAAGTATGATGTACTACTACAGACTGTGTGCCATGTGAATGTACTATACCTCGAAGCACGCAGGATACAGTGGATAACACGGCACCTCTCTTATTTTGGGCTCTTTTTCCACATCTAGGATTCCTGAAGTTATTCTGAGTCCAAGGTTTAAAATGTGGGCAATCAGCCTTGATGCCACCTTCTCCGCAACCGTCCAATTCCTCACTGAGTTCTACTGAGTCTTAACTCATGATCTCTCCCTGGCTTTGCCTCTCTCTTTCTATCTCCATTCTTATTGAGACCATGCCACATAATCACACCTGTCCTCCACAGAACCCACCACCCAAACCCTTTATTCTAGTTCAGGCCCTAACACTTTATGTCCAAAACACTAGGTCAGTTTGCCAGCCAGTCTCCCCTTGTTCCACCTCCAGTCACTGCTTTTAGATTATATCATGTCAAACTCCAACTGAATTATAGCACTCTGCTATTCAAGAATCTTCACTGGCCCCCATTTCTTACCCTATCCTGCATCAAATGTAACCGGGATCAGGCTTTGGTAGCGCTCTATAAGCTATCTTTACCCACCCAGCCCAATCTCCCATGTCTCTGCTCCAGTCACACTCTGCAACCAGCTTTGTGCCATTGCTGTTTGTTTTCTAGTAGAATCTAGCACAGGCTCTGGAGTTGGACCACTTTGGTTTGAATCCCAGCTCCACCACTTATTAGCTCTGTTGCTTTAAATAGGTGACATCATTTCTCAGAGCTCTAGTTGCCATGACAGTAAAATGGGGATAATGGTATATAATTAATGGGGTTTATAAAGATCAAATGAGACAATGCATGCCAATTACTTAGAACATTTTTAGTTATTACTATGACAGTTCCCTCTGCCTGGAATGCCCCTTCCCATTTTGTTAATCTAAATCTCAACCGTTCTCCAAGGTACTGCTCAAGTACCATCTCCTCCAGGGAGTTCGTCCTTAGTAATCTAGTCCTCAAAATTCAGCCCATAACAATATGTTTTATATTGCTCATCATTATTTCATGTATGTTAGTCTCATCCTACCAACTATACCGAGACAGCAGGCGAGACAAAAACGAGTGAGACAGATCTAGGTTTATATCCTAACTTCCACTTTGGCTGTGTGATTCTATGCAAGTCATTTAACCCATTTGAGCTTCAGTTTTCTTATCTGAAAAAGGGACCAACAATCCTTACTTGACTAGGTTATTGTGGGGATCACAGATAATGTTCTCAAAGCATCTGGGATGCAGCCTGATGCATAGCAAGTAGTCAATAAATAGTAGGTACTATAATAAAAGTTATATTTTCAGACTTGTCTTTCTTGATGGTTCAGATGTACTCCCACCCAGGTTTGTCCATCCAAGGTCAAAGTTCTGCTACACCACTCCCTTGGCACACTTTGAAAAGTAGCATACAAAGGCCCCTATTCTCTCTAGGGTTTCTCCAGGGAAAGGAAACAATCTTAAAAGAGACAGAAGCAAGGCTGTGGGGGCTTTGGGACCACTGGGAGAAAAACTACAAGCTGGGGTGAGGAAAATCCCAGCAAAGGAACTTCAGCTACAGCGGGAGCACTCTAGCCCGAGTTTGATAAAGGAGAGGAAACTATCTATACATGATCTAATACTTGTTCTATAATTATTCCCGAATAGTCCTAGACTTAGTCCACACTTACATTCCAATCCTAGCTGTGCGACCTTGGCCAAGTCACTTCTCTGAGTTGTAGATTCTTTATCTGTAAAATGGGGAAGATAACCATTCCTTACTCACGAGTTATCGTCTGGATTAAATGCAGTCCCATGTGTGAAATCACTCAGCATAGTGTCTGACATACTATAAACTTAAAAAAAAATAACAGGGACCACTTACTGAATAAAGATGTGCCAGACACTAAGCACTTCACATGCATTAGCTGATTCAATCCTCACTCCAACCTTATCCATAATAGCTATTATTATCCCCACTTTACAGACAAGAAAACAGAGACACAGAAAGCTGAATTGCTCTGCTAAGGGCACACAGCTGGTAACCTGCAGTTGGGAATAAGGCTCAGACCCTGCAGCCTTCTCTAGGATACCGCCTATTCCCCAAAGAGCAATCTGTCAAAAAATACGTATAGCTGAGGCTTCTCCTAGCCATTTCCTCGAGAAGTAGTCAGAAAAGGAAAGTCTCAGTAGTCCTAAAGTTTAAACCATCCCTTATTTAGGCAGTGAGGACGTGGGATGAGGAGAAATAAGCGGAGAGGTAACACAATGCCAACCACTAACCAGGCAGTTCCAGGCCTGGCTGTGGAGGCAACAATCCCATTCTTCCAAGGCTGGTTCAGGCACTATCATTAAACACATACCCTATCATTCATTATCCCAAAACTCCTTTCTTAGGAAGCAAAAAGTAAGTGATATTGAAGAAAGAAAGCAGAACAAGGGAAGGGACAGCAGCCATGGCGGCCATGGCTACTAGTAGTACCTACCAGGAAAGTTGCCCAGGGTGGGGAGGTGGCTTAGGAGAGAGCTGAGTATCCAGCCAGCTCAGATGCTCATCAACAACCCCTCCAGCCAGTCCCCAGGGCTTCTCTCTGCAAGTTGAATTCTCCCTTAGTTGAGAGCCATCTGCCTTCCTGTTAAGACCTCCTGAGATGAGGGACCATCAGCCCAAGATCCTGAGTGTGATCCAAAGGGCTCAGGCACAGTCAGGTCCCAGTTTCAAGAACAGAAAGGAGTGGCCATGAAGACAACGTATTACCATCAGCCTGGTTGGGCCTAGATGTGGCCACAGCTTTAGGGAACGAAGGCCAGTGTCAACAGCTGGATAGGAGTGAAGACACTGCTCCAGAAACCAGCCAGCACCCTGATGGCAAAGGGAAGGATGAAAGGCAGTTCCAGCAGCATAAACAGCCCCCCTGTTCCCTACTACAGCCTCCTATGAGCCCTGGCCCGCCCCCTTCCACAGCTCAGAGGCCAATAAGGAAGCTGGGCCCCCAGCCACTGCTAGAACTCAGGAAAGGAGCAAGGAAATGATGTTTGGGAAAGATAAAGCGGGTGTCTAAAAAGAATTTTTAAAAATACACGTAAGTGAGCGAGAAAAATACCCCAGACACATACACTTAAAAGAATTCCTGTGCTTCCTGGACTGAGTTGA